AGCGTGTATGGAAAATGGATGAGAACAATAGAGTGATCAGCTTTCGCGTGGTTACAAAAAGAACGAGATATCCCCCGGGATATGCGTTTTATAGGTTGAACTGAATTTGAATGGAAATCGCTCCGTGGGCCAGCCGCGAATCACAGCAACATCATCCGAACGACAACGAGATCGCGCGAGTCCCCGTCACCGCTTTTGTATATCACTTACCGGTAAATATATATAATAATCTTATATATATACTTCTTGTTTATATATAATATATAATAATATCTTATATGTATATTTTCTTCACATTATACCTATTATATCATCTTTTATTTCCGCTTAAATGTACTTCTGCGCGTGTGCTATTTATACTATTTACAATGTATCCTTCATCCCCCTTCTCCTTGCTTTCTCCTCGTTTAAATCGTACTCCCCAAAGAAGTGTTCGTTACACACCCATTTTTTTTTCTTTTTTTTTTTACGTTAACATTAACACGCACGCCGGCGCAATGTCGAAACACACGCGTATAAGAACTCACTGGTCGTTCTCTCGCACGGTTACGTTTCTAAGCTGCGTCTCGCGACCCACGACTAAACTCGCGCCCTCTCCCTTCACTGCTCGCCGTCGTCAAACCGAACTCGCAGGCACTCCGTCGGTACCGTGTGTGTACGTGTACTAATATGCGTTTTAACGCAGCGAAGCTACATCTGTGTAAAAAATACGAAATTATTTGTCACCTCCCGAGTTCCATTTTTCACCCCGTCGAGAAGCGAGTATATACCGTCGCGTTCTGTTCCGAACGCAGTGCTTGGTATTCCGTTCGACGACCGACTCGATCGGTACAAAATATCGACCGAGAGTCACGAGTAGTAGTTTCGCGAAAATTCGCTCGCGTTTCTTTCCGTATCGGCCATCTCTCCGCGCGTTATTCTTTTCGACTATACTTCCGAATCCTTTGGGCGAGTTCGCGTGCGTCGAAAGAGAAGTGTAAGGCATCCTCCGTGTCGCGACTCGGAACACCAAGCCGATGAGGTAGCGCTGCGATCGCAAAATACCAGGGGCGTACTTCGGAGATGCATCAACGCGATGGACGAATTTTTGAACAATCTAGCATACGTTGGTGTATCTCGCGCGTGCCACAGGCTTTTTAACGTTCACGCTGTTTCGTTGGTACACCATGCAAGAAAACAACACTGACCTTCCTTAGAACGCTCCGTACATTCACATCGAGCGCGCATATGTAATTTCATACAACGTTCGTTCGTGCGCGTGTTTGTGTGTCTGTGTATCATGTATGAATGTATCCCGTGTTTTAACACTTTCGCGCGGTCATAGATAGAATGGTACACGGAACTCGAGTGATTCGCAAACCCGGAAAGTACCCTGAGAACACCTTTCTCTGCTTTTTATTAGCCATGATTGACATTTCATCGCGTAACGCCATCTTTCGTGAAACTGGTTAAATTAAACATTTCCAATTCGCTCGTTGCAACAAATTTCTACGAATTTGTGTTCTTTTCCAGTGATATTTATACCGCAGCCAAATGGAAGTATAAATAAAGCCGATGATGTAGAAAACTGAACGCGCGATCCACGAGAATGATCAAACATGGCGATCGTTTGAAAGAATGTTGCTCTTTCGGTACGAGCTTGAAGCTCGCGTATCACTCGAGATCGCTGCACGTGCATTCTTTTCCTAGATTCTTCGCACCGTTAAAGTAATATTGCTCGTTGTTTCCTATGAAATGAGAGACGAACGAATGAGAACGATAAAGAGGTGAGACGATTAGCGTGGCGGAGGAAACCATCACACGGTATAACGGTACCCCGGATAAGTAACACGACGAACAGACGAAAATCAGAGAATTGAAAAATCGGCGATACGATGACTGACGAAAAATGAAACAAAATGGGAACAGGAACGGAAAATGAAAACTGCCGAGAGTTCACGGTTCGCGTTAACAATTATTAGACTTAGCACGTAGTGTGTACCTATATACATCGAAGTATCTAGCGTATTTCATGTACAAACGTGTCCTCTGTGATTCTGTATACAAGTGTCGCGTGTACGTATAGTCTTCTGTATGGTGTGTGTCCTGTAGTGTATACATGTCGGCTTAACATCGAATTAATTACAAGTTAAATCAACTCGTGTCGCGAAACATTACCGATAGAGCTTCCTTTCCTTCGTCTTTTCCTTTCTTTGTTCTCTCGCGCAAGTAGTCAGTCGATTTATAAATTATTTATATCGCTTTATCGTTCGTTAGACTCGCTTTACAACGCTTAACTTCGATTTAAGTATAGCTGCTCTCTTGGGTTCGGTTAGTGGACGTTGAGGACGAGATCGCGCGCGGATCGCCGTTCCTCTTCGCGAAGTGCGTATCGTCGAGTTTTACTTTATTTTCTCCATTTTTTCCTAATAATCTCTCCGTTCCACACCCCAAGTGAATTATTGGTCGCCTTCGTTCCCTGCTCGTCGGCCACTCTATTTTACAATAGTATTATGGTACATATTATTAACGGGAGATCAGTGGCGCGCAGTGGCCTCCGTGCGACGACCCGAAGGGACCGATATTATCCCGATCTCTAAAATGCAGGTACATTTGTTAGCATCGTGCACCAGAACACAGGGCGCGTTCTCTCCAACATACTTCCATCTACGATCACGCGGCGCTCCACCACAATTGGGTAAGACGAGATTGATCCTACTACAGCTAACTTCGCTTCGTATCGGGTGCCATGATGGAAATATGTTCGACTACGGCGTGGTCCTGTTCACGACGTCAGGACGTATCTAGACTCCTCGACGAAGACTACCGGGCGATCCGTGCGAATTTACGCACATGGCTCTGTGTGTACAGAATTAAGCACCAGGGTGTGTGATCGTCCTAGCACCATATCGACTTTTCTGTCTACGAACCTGTATCTCTTTTCTGATGTACATATATATGCGTGTGTGTCTATGTACGTGGGCGTGTACGCATGTGTGCGTGCGTGTGTGTGTGTGCGTGCGTGTGTGTGTGTGTGTTATCAGTGTAAGGTATAGGCCACGGCGGTTACGTCTTACGCGTGTAGGTGTATCGTTAGTGTATCAGAGTGTATGGCATTAATTAATCGTCGCATGGATAGTCTTTCTAATCCAAAGAGAAAACATCGATCGATGATGATGGACACTCATGTTTCGATTGGCTGTCGCAAGCGACGCCGGACGTCGCCGGAGAGTTCTCAACGTCAGCCGGCTAGGCGAGCGATACCGCGCTGTCCGAATGTTACGGAAGAAAGGAAAGAAAAGAAAATAATTAAAAAAAGAAAAAAAAAAGAGAAAAAGAAAAAGGCAAGGAATCGAGGAGAAAGGGGAGAGGGAGATAGAGGAGAAAAGGGGGTAACAGGAACGTGGATAGAAGAGGACATTTTTTCTGTCGAATATACCGCGTGCACATCATAAAAGTCTATCGAGGTTTCGCGTGCCGTTGTCGTCGTTGTTTTAAGGAGTCGAAGGGAAGCTTGCACAGATCCTAGGACTTGTCCTACCATATCGCCGGCCCGGGGGCGTGAACATTGAAAGCTCTGAGACTTTTTCACTTTCTCTCTTTCTCCCTGTCGCTCTCTCATTCTCTTTCTTTCGCTCTCTCTCTTTCTCTCTCTCTCTCTCTCTCTCTCTCTCTCTCTCTCTCACTCTCTCTGTCTGATGTGCCGATGGCGACATTTCGAGCGACTCGGGAACTCATACGTGTGCGGCTGAATTCGCAGGTGCAGCTGCAAAAACAGATCGTTTCGATATAGTATAGCCATGTTCCTTTCGAGGTGTCGTTGATGAACCGGAGGAGGACCCGATATCGCGTTGTTCGTGAGAATAAAAATTACAAGTCTTCCGATATATCTCTCTATGTACATATAAAATAAGAAGATTTAAATAATTTTTAGTAAGTCGATAATAGCTAGGAAAATAAAAATAATCATTCCGAGTAAAATTATAAAACGTAACGTGTTATATGATACTTCGAAATGGAAGAAAAAAAAAAAGAAAAAAAAGAAAGAAAAATATATATATATATCTTTGAAACAACACGAGCTTAGGTACTCGCCGGTTTATAAATTGTAATCACCTCAGGTTGCTTCGAACTTTAAACATTTCCAGTGGGCCATGCATATCCCACCACCGCCTGCACCTGCGAACACAGGGTGTCACACAGCGCGTACCCTCCGCCACAAAGAGTAGACCCATACTGGGCACCGATGTGGTAGAAGTAGAACATAACCGAGATAATCGATCGGTGCGTAATTGACACGAACGGTAATAAATAAGAAAAAGAAGACCTCCTGGAGAGTCGCCGACCAGGCGTCGCACATATTCGAGAGCCAGGGCGACTACGTCGTCTCTGCATCTCTCGACTCGTGGTTCTTTGTGTGTGTGTGTGTGTGTGTGCCGCACTTTTACTTGCTTTGCGGCATCAGCGGGTAAAAATCGATGAGATGACTCAACGATGTCAAAATCGGGGGCTATGATCCAACGCACATTAACGATTCGTGCGTACTACTGCTACTGCCAGTACTGACGCAGGCACTGCCCACATTACTGCTGGCGCAACTACCACTAGTCGGCGCCAAGTGTTGCTGCTGCTGTTGCTGATGATGATGCTGATGTTGCTGGTGTTGCTGCTCCTGCGCCGTCGTACTCCTAAGGATATCGTCCGCAGACAGAGGAGTCAGCTTCCATCCAGGCATGAAGTCTAAATCTAGGTCCGGACCGATATCGACATCCAGTAACTCGTTGTTGTTCAATGGATCTAGAGGCGACTGACTCGACAGAGATAGCACGCTGCCCCAATTGATCGAACGACTATCGTCGCTATCGCCGATGCCGGAATCAGCGTCTGTTTCGTTCGAAGACGTCGGTGGCATTGGGAACGGCGTTAACCTGCCCTGCTCAGGAGGTTGAAGTTGAGCAATCGGCGCCGGTATAACCGGCTCCATGGGCGGTGGACTTCTGTCCCTCTCCATCTCGCGTTCCAGGTGCCTCAGTGTATTACAGATGAGAACCGATCGATGAAGGCTCGGATCCGGAAATTGGCGGTACCTCGCCAGCTTGCACATCGAAATATTTAAAACGGCTAGTCGCCTTTGTCTATAACACGCTCTGCCACGCCGACACCAGCTCGACCTCGAGCCTTCGCAGCACCTCTCGTTCGCTCGGTAACTCGAACCAAGCTCCAAATAACTCTTCCCGTTTTCTTCTCGCCGTATCGTCGGAGGCTCGTAATGGTGAGGTGCTCCCCACTGCGGCTGAGGCCTCGACAGTTGGCTGTAACCATTGTTACCGACCGGACTGTTTGGTCCGCGTTGATGGTGGTAGTAGTGCTGCGGGTGATGATGCAGATGCGCCACCGTAGACGGGGGTAGCGCTGACGCCGGCGTCGGCGATTGCTGTTGTTGTTGCTGCTGCTGCTGCTGCTGCTGCGCTGCCTGGTGTTGCTGTTGCTGCTGCTGTTGCTGCTGCTGCTGCTGCTGTTGTTGTTGTTGTTGTTGCTGTTGCTGCTGCTGTTGTTGCTGCTGCTGCTGCTGCTGCTGTTGCTGCTGCTGCTGCTGCTGCTGCTGCTGTTGCTGAGGACTCGTTGATGTCGGCTGACAAGGATTTGTTGTCTGCAGGCAAGGCGAACTCACTTCCATATCGTAATAAGAAGCGGGTGTTTGGCTCAGCGGGGGCGTGTAACTATCCTCCATTGCCCACCAGCTACCCTCCACCCGGCCTAACTTCGATGGGCTCTCGCCCATATCCATGTCGAACTCCATGCAGCCCACACCTCCCTCCAGTTTACGTTTTCCTGCCGTGGCCTGCAGACCCATCATTGCACAGCTCTAGAAATAGATAAATTATACCACACATTAGTATCTCTGTATAAATTCTTTTCTATGCAAACATAAATATACGTTGTTTTATACTTTCGCCTCGTGCAATTCGATAGTTTAATATTTTCCAAGGTAACGTATCGGAAAATTCACGTGAAATAATTACGGAGAATATTTTTCTGTCACGAAAAATATAAGATTAGGTCAAAGTTAAATTACCAAATTGCATCTGCATGGTGTGAAAGAAAAGACAGGGTTTTGAAATTTATGCAAATGGTAAAGAAATATTAAGGGATAAGCTAGGAGTCTTTGCTAGATGACGATTTAGCGACATGATCACGAAAGACCTTGCCGAGTCTCGATACTCTGCTACGAGCAGGAGAGTAGGCAAAACGGCATGACTCAGAGGGTCGGCTCGCTGACAGACGTTGGAGAATGACGTCAGGCTTCTCCCTACCCTAGCCTGGAAGAAGTCATCGTTGGAATGGATGATCGAGTGGGCATGGAAGAGAAGGGGGGCACAAATGGCAAAGGGGACAGAGGAGTGTTGTTACTCATGGGTTCAATCAGCAAGCATGCGGGCCCCTTGTGAAATACTCCTCTTCATTTTATCTTTTCCTACGTCTTTGTTTTCCTTTTTCTACTTCTCATATTCGTTCAAAGGTTCGTGTATTAGATCTATGAAATTACTATTATCTCGAATTTCCAGCCCTAAATAATTTCCCTCCATTCTTAAAGTCGGATGCACTCGTGTAATTACATCACGTTGACCATCATACGGAAATTAAGACGATAACAGATCTATTTCTCATTTTCTATTAATATTAAAATAGACCGTAGAACGTGCATGTATACTAGCGATATCTTGTGACCCACAGTGATACCAACTACGAGGAAACGTGATCGATCCGCGCGACGAAACCCCAAACAAATGATAAAGCACGTGGAACACCGAGGATTTATATCCACGCATATCCGATTGACTGTGCGGGTGAAAGTAAGTAAATAATCATCCCACCCTTCCCCAACTTTTGCTTATCGAAGCAAGTCTTTCGAAGCGGCAGAAGAGAACGAGGAGAAATGATTTGAAGGGTAAAAATCACGCGAATTCGGTTGAGAACCGCCGACATTGCAGTTAGTTGAGCGAATTGCCGTGAGATGTCACTAGCGACACGTTCGTCGTTTTGTCGGATCCACGTGGTCTGCACATGACGTTTGATTTCACACGCGAAAAAAAAAAGGGGAAAAAAAAAGCAAAAACAGAAATGGAGGGAATGGAAGGCGCGTAGAGCTGACCTATGGGTAGAGGATGCATGGTGGCGTGAACGTCATTTAACAGATAATCGATGCGTTATGTTGTTCGGCCAATACGAAGAGCCGCGTGTGCAACTGGCAAGAACAACGGTGAGAAAAGGAGGGGAAAAAAGTTCCGAGGAAACGAGCAATGCCATCAGAGACGATACGCGCGCTCATGATACTCGCGGTTATGGCAAAACAAGCGAGCCAATTTGTCGCTTTGTTTAATCGGACTTGAACTGAACAGCGTCGGTTAAATAAAATTTCGAATAAAAAGAATTTTCACGAAACTCTCGCTAATGGTAACGCGCCATAGGTGGGAGAAATTGGATTATCTTTTATCAAAATAACTTCATTAAGAACCCTTGAGAAGAAAGGCTCGCTTTCTTAGAAACGATTTATAGATTTCTAGAAGTAACTAGTTACCACGGCGGCAGCAACAGCAGCCAACGACTCAATCTCGACTCGACAGTGTACATCCGCCGCGGCGGCCTACTTGGAATACGACTCGCTCGCGAAGGTTCTCCTTCCAACAGGGTCGACCAGTCCCGGAGCTCTTCAACGGACGATTCATGGAATCGCGGGGAAAACAATGACGGATCGTATCCGCAAGCTTGATTTCGCCTTCCATCACGGTGAAAACGCGATTTTCTCAGGAAAGTGCTTCTCGTTTTGTCCATCGATGCTTTCCCAATACGTATCCTTACTTACTGACAATCTCTATGTTACTAGTACCTTGTCACAGTGCTCACGATACTCGCGTTATCTCTATTTTTTAACCCACTGAACCATACTGCGATTCCTTTCAATAACAGGAGAATATAGAACGTATCGAATCTAGTGGAATTTAAATTGGAATTTTTCATGCGTGGATTTCTACTTTACCGGCTGCCTCATCCAAGACACCAACCGATTCCGTACCGTTCTGCGTTACCATCGTTGAAAAATGGTTACCAATTGAATCCATCGTAATACTTCGAAATGATTTCAGCGAACGCGTCCGAGAATTCAACTGGCGTCGTAACAAACAATGTTTGCGAAACATGGTCCGGGCACTTGTTGAATCGAGACGGCCACCGGGTGGTTGCTGCGGGGAGTTACCGCGTAACGGATTAGCTGTGTGTGGCAGAAATGCACGGCTCTTAACTGCCCATAAATCAAAGTCAAGAAGCATGCTCATCCCGCTACTCTCTTTTCCTCTCGCGGAATCTTTAAGGGTTGCGGTTTGCTCACTCTCGCGAATGGAGAATCTTTCTAACCTCACCTGAGCTGCGGAATCGTGGCACCGATTTCGAAGAGAAGTGTCGAAAGGTTGTTTTCGTTCGTTCTGTGCCTTCTCTGAACATTTTGCGATCAACTATTCGATGTGATCCAAGCGTGATCAAAAATGGCTTTCGAATTTAAAAGCTAAAAGTATTTGAAACGAAAATATTTTTCCATTCTTTCGATGAAATTAGATAAATCACACTAGCGTAAAATCGTATAGTTACCTGAAAAAAGTGTCTGTTATTGTTACGTGCACGTTATAGATTACGTTGGTAAATCTGTGTCAGCGTTTAATGCACTTTTTGTTTTATATTTCACGCCACTTTTCTATCTTTTACGAAATAGTACGGTGTATCTTGTTCACGCGAGCGCCATCTAGCAGCGAATTCTGTAATCAACTCGGTAGAGGATTTATTTCGAGGTTAATAAGATAAAATTGACCCTAAAATAGCATATTTTGTAACGTTACAACTCTTATGTTTTTGTTAACAAAAACGTGTTTACGAGGTGCAACAAGTGAAATACTAAATACGCGAAATTGTATTTGACACGTGTGAACGGGAAAAGTTTATGGAAAATTTCAATAATATTCGTTAAACTAATTATCATCGAATATGTGTCATCGCATTGACAAATTGCACAGAAAGTTCGGTGACAGAGTTTCTATAAACAAATTTGCCCCAATTCCTGTTTTATCGTCAGGAATGTGGGTCAATGGAATAAACGTGAGAGAAGTACCAGAACTAGAAAAGATTCATGACGACTGTGCTCGCAATAAGATAATGTTCACTGCGTGAAGCCTATCTAGACGCACGAGGAGATTAATAAAGTCAGCTTTTACGTCACTCTAGGTAAAATCAAGCGAAAATATAATCCCCGTTGAAAACGGAAGAACAATCAAAATGGACGATAAATAAAAATAAAAAAAGATTCCTTTAAATAGAAAAAATGAAGAAAATTTATTCCGATATTAATAATTCGAGGCGAAATTATTTATCGTTTAAATAATTAATTTACGAGTAGGTTTATTTTAAAGGAATTCATTTTCGTTCGATTCCTTGCGAGCAGCAGCGAGAACAGAGGATGCGAGAGAAGAATCAAAAGTAGAGAAGGTTTGTTGTGGATCCGGCTATGCCTGACGATGAGGTAATGTTTGCTACACGAGTCAAAGCTATCTAGTCAGCCAAAGAACGAACACACACGAAGCCCTGCTCGAGCCACTCGGAGCCCCGTAGATAAAACCAGTCAATGTGTGGCGTCGTACATTCCTGAGCTATACATGTGTACGCTAGGCATGCGCGAATACACCGAAACGATACTATAAGATCGAACACTCGAATCCGTTTTCGAATTCGGATACTGCAGAATTTTCGGTACAGTATCAACTTTGCATATTTAGCCACGGAAAGTGCTCGAAGGTGCTGCCTCTTTAGAGGTTAGGTCAATAACTCAGTCGTGCCAACGCGAGAACACGATCGATTCGATAATCGTGCGAGGGAAGCGCGAAAAAATGAAACGAATAGATTGAAAGTTCGAATGTGAAAAAAAAAGGAGAGAGATAACGATACGAGCGAAGCTGACGCGAAAAATAAGTTCGCAATATTATCTTTTACGTTCCGGTTTAAGAAATATCGAGTCGAAAAAACGATCATTACGCGAAGTATCGGGAGAACGATGGAATTTTCGTTCGAATTCGAAACTACGTATAGGATAAACGTAATCGAGTCGCGTTAGTGCAAATTTTCTGCGCTGCTCGGGCACCAGAAGAACGACATCGAGGCGACGTTGGTGCCGGCGGTCGGCAGTCATGACAACATGACGTCAACCGGCCGTGTGTTATTTTCGAAAGGGGACTCGAGCGGCGCGGCGCCTGCCGGCGAGATCGCCAACTACGAAAAACAGCTCGACAACGACGTCGCGCACCACGCTATCGGGCCAAGAAATAACAACGCGCACGATATAGCCTGCCGTGTTATGATTATCGAGCGCAATTCCGTCGGGAATATTTAAATAAATGAGAAACCAGCGAGCGTTCTACAGGAGAAAAAAAATGTCTTTCGCGTAGAATTAACAGTCAGTATCACTGACGTTTCCTTAACGGAAAATATCGACCGATATTGTCTAGTTTTTATCCGTTCATTTATCAATGACGCGCTATATTATTTATAGGTATGATGTTCTGGATAATATTCCACGACGGTTCAAGCCAAATAAGTTATTAAAATAATTCGAATTAAATTATAAATTCTACGAGAATCTCGATGTCACGTTGCAAACTTACAAAGACATTTCATTCCTGTTCTAAATACGAGAATAACCAAACGACATAAATAAAAATAAGAAAATAATATCAACGTATCTTTTTCTCGAGATTAATGCGTTTGGAATGACTTTGCAAGGGTTTGCAACGCTCCCGATCCAGTCATTTATCTAACCCGATCGCACCA